TATTGGGGTTCTTCATGGTAAAAAATAAGTATTGGTAAAGGGAAATGTGTTTGATATTTGCATGACTGAGACATAAACCTGAAAGCTTTGTAACCTTTCCCACAGTGATTCAATAAATAAAAAATAAAAAATAAAAATTAAAAATTAAAAAAAAAAAAAGAAAAACAACACAAGGACTGGGGAGGTAGCTCAAAGGGCTGGAATAAATTCCACTTTAATACTGGCAACAAATGGTACCCCGAGCACTGATGTACCCCCTCTTCCCAAAAAAATCACAGCAGCAAACACAAATTAAAATTAAAAAGGAAATACACAGTTTTGATAAATAAAAGAATGTTTTTCAGGAAAAAAAAAAAAGAGTTTAGACGTCCCTGTATCTCCCAAAACCATGTGGGTTTAATGATGGAAATAATGGACACAGTGGGAAAAGATGAGAGGGCTATCTGCCAAAGATTATAACAACTAATATGAGAACTATCCAAATTGTTTTTTCACCAGCTATTGCTTGGAATAGTAAATAATCCACTGACATGAGTGTTTTCCAAAGTAAAATATGCCTTCAACTCCAGTTGCCAATCAACTCCAGTGGAGAAAGTTGATTTTGCATTATGATAGTGTTTCTTGTAATTTTCACTTTGAGATCCATCTTTGTTTTTGAGCCACACCTGGCAATATTCAACGGTTACTCCTGGCTCTGCATTAAGAAGTTAGTTCTGGTGGTGCTCAGGGGACCATATGGGATGCCAGAGTCTTCTGCATGCAAGGCAAGTGTCCTACTCACTGTACTATTTTTCCAGTCCCAGAGATCCATCTTGTTTCTTATGGCTGTGTGGTATGTAAAACGTTGTCTGTCAATGGATAGTTGCCAATTTTTTATGATTTGTTTGATCACTAATGTTGTAACAGCAAATATTATATATCACTAATAATTATATATCACTAATCACAGTATCATACCCATGGTAATTGTACTTTACAACTAATGTGGAAGTATCTATAGACCGAACAAGCGATGAAATTGTTGATGACCTTTAGAAGCTTCAAAACAAGAACTGAGTTTTGGCTGGAAATGTGTATAGATAAATTATGAGGATGATTATGTAAATTAAGTTTGTATACTAATCACAGAAAGGCATTCTTCAAAATTATATTGCTCCTTTCTGCAAAATGGACTCAGGTCATCTCATTCCAAAGCCTGTTTGCCTTTCTGAGCTCTTTCTAGCAGGCATCTGCCAAAACATACAGAAATGGATAGTCCTTTTGACAGGCAGAAGACTGTCTATTTTACATCTCTTTAAAAGGGAGGAATGATAAAGCATGGAAGAAACAGACAAGAAATGAAAACTTTGGGCCAGAAATATAGCCCAAGTGGACAAAACACTTGTCTTGCATGCAGCTGACCTGGGTTCAATCTCCAGCACCACAAAAGATCCTTCGTACATTGCCAGGAATGGTTCCTAACTGCTGAGCCAAGAGTAAGTCCTGAGCATGCTGGGCGTAGCACCCCCAAAAGCAAAAATAATAAGCCTGCTGAGCAAATATTGGTAACATGAGCTTTATGAAACTAATTCCTCAATCTGATCAAAAGGGGTATGACAGAAGACATAAAAGGAAAAAAAGAAAACTGCCAGCTAATTGAAGACTTGAATTCAAGATCTACAGAAGCATCAGTGCTTAGGATACGTTAGTTTTTGATGCTAGCGATAGTCAAGGGCTTTTACACTGGGGCCAGGAATCCTTTCTGACCACTACCCTCCCTAGGCCCATTTCTTCCCCTTCCTGTAATGCCTTTGCCTTCCCTCCTCTCATTCAATGCAAACTGCTGCTTCTCTGATCCTCTCCTTCACAGACTGCTGTTGTGCACTGGAGATGTACAGACATATCAAAATTCGAGTCTGTATGGACTGTCAAGTAAATCAGCTCACAGCAGAGTTACTGTGTTGTGTCTGTGTTGACTGGTGCAGCTCAAATGTTACTAGGAAAAGATCAAGCCCCTCTGATTCACTGAATGGCATAAACCTAGGGGAAAGAGTAGGGAGAGTTTATTCCCAGAGTAACTGATGTCCAAGAGATTATAAACCATTCTCCATGACTACAGGGCCAGGCCACTGAAACCTGACACCAGCATGGGAGGTGGGAGCATAAGAGTTCGGATAAATGTGCAAGCTACCTTGTTGGCAGGCTGTATCTGGTGATATTAACAAGCTAGCTGTGGGTAGGATAATTTCTCATCAGATTGAAGAGATATTTATAGATTTCCATTATATAATAAAAATCTACTAACAGCAATGATACGAATAATAGTTGAAACTGTCACTCAGGGATGACAGACATGCCTGAAGGACTGGATGGATACATTTTTAAAAAAAAGAATACTCATTATATGCTCCAGTCATAACCTAAAGAAAAATTACAGAGCAATATTTTATCTATAGTAGTATACTGACAGTGTATATTAGGATGAGTAATTTAAAATCTCTCCTTCAAATATAAATCAACTCACTTTGTCCTTTACTGTTAAAGTGAACAGTGAAATGACTTTTTTCGCTTGTTTTTTTTTTCAAGAAAGTTTTTATTGAAACTTAGAAAGATGTGAGAGGCGGGTATATGTTGAAGAGAGAACACAGATTTCTCCAGAGTGGAAATAGGCAAGCAAAGAAACATTGAGACAAGCAAGCGAGATTCATGTTCAAAGGAGAACACAGGTTTGAAGAGCAAGCTATTTTTTTCTTTAGAAGACCTTGTGGAATAAGATCTGTAAGTCATTAGTGTCTTTTATTGTTTTAACCTGTCCTTTGATTCATTTCCAACTACTCCCTAATCAGGCAGCTATTATTTCTTATCTTCATCTAGATAAGGTCCTTTTAATATTTGCCTGGAATTGCTGAAAACTTCCAGATTGGTTAGATTTGGGGAAGCTTGGATCTCAATGAGGAATAGCATTTTAAGTAGGTTATGAGTGATACAGATTTCCTTTGGCTTGTTTAAAGTTCAAAATAGCAGTAAATAGCAGCTCAGACTAAATAAACAAGGCTAAGTTGAATTGTTTATTATTTAACCAGAGTATATGGGATTTTCCTGAGTCACTTTTTTATTTTTTATGGGGGATGCATCACACAGACCCAGCTGTGTTCAGGGCTCACTATCTCCCAACCCTTGTTTAGTTTGCATTAAACCAATTTTCATTAGTTTCCGGGCCACACCCAGTGGTATGTGGGAGCTACTCCCAGCTCAGTGCTCAGGGGTCATTCTCAATGGTGTTTTGGGGGACCATGTGGTGCCAGGAATCAAATTCTGACCTCATACATGGAAGCAGGTGCATGTGTTCTGTTGTCACCCAACCCTTTTTTCTAACTTAACTATATATATATATACATATATTTTTTGCTTTTTTGGGTCACAACGGTGATGGACAGGGGTTACTCTTGGCTTTTCACTCAGGAATTACTCCTGGCGATGCTCAGTGGACCATGTGGGATGCTGGGAATGGAACCCGGGTCGGCCGCATGCAAGGCAAATGCCCTACCCGCTGTACTATTGGAGCTGTACTATTGCTCCAATCCCCCTAACTATAAATTTAAGATCTTGACAACTTAGATTCAGTTTTGCTATTGTGTCCTAGTAGTTCTTAATAAGTCTCAGTGAAAGCTATAGAATCATATAACATGGGATTTAGAATCCTAGAAAAACATCTGAAAATGAATAGCAGATTTACCCTTATAAAGATTCTGGCTGAACTGAAGAACACAGCTGCTTTGCATTAGTTGTTCCCTCCACTTTATTAGATTCTGCCTCTGCAGGATGTGCCTGGAGTACCTCCTCTCCCAGTAAGTTGGGATTGTGCTTACTGCAGTATCTCTCAGCTGGTGCTCCTGCTAACACACTTGTACGTAATGTTAAACCCAAAGCAAGTCACCCTCAACTCACAGCAACACCATTCATTGAACATTTTTCTTTCTCCTTATTTTTTAATTTTGTTGGGATCACACCTGACAGATGCTGAGTATTGAACCAGAGTGGGTTGATATGCAAGGGTAGAAACTGGCAACACCTTTCATTGGGTATAAGTGTTCCTTATGTGTACAAATAAATGCGTGGGGTGCTTTTCTGTGGCTAACAAATTCAGATAAAGACTCACGAAATGCTTGAAAATACACAACCCCTGCAGGAGGGTAACTGTTGGCTGTGCCCTTTGTTCGGATTCCTACTGAGAACGTGAGGAAAGCTATGGGCTGTCCTCCACTCCCATTTAACTGAGAAAGACAAGGCTAAGCAGGAACTGCGCATACCCAGAGGGAAACAAGAGGGACTTGCAGGCTACTTCAGTTTACCTTTGGATTGTAAGGTATGAAAGACCGTGTCTTTCTGACCTGTCCGCATTGGTGCGTCTGCATGAACATGGGTGTCCCTGTGGATCAGAGCCCACTAGTGACATCACTTCCACCTGCCCCGTGGACTCTGGGGATCAGGATCTGGGTCTTGGGCTTTTGAGCCTGTTTCAAAATTATCAGGATAACCTCATGACACTCAGACCCGCTCCTGCGACAGCTTTCCCCCCGCCCCCATCTCAATTTATCGATGAGAACTCCGAGGGATCTTATTCTCTTCCGTTTTAAATGCTACTTGTTAAATAAGATAGCTGCGCTGTCTTCTTAGATATTCGAGGTCGGATGGCGGATGGGGGTACCTCTCATTGAAACCCGGATCTTGTCGCTCTGCGGCGGTCCCCTCCTCACCTTCCGGTAGCCCTCCCGGCGGTCCCCCTGCCCGCACTAGGATGCGATGGCGCCGCGGGGACGTTGCGGCCCGGGTTCAGAGCTCGAAGGCGGGTTCCCACGCTAGCAGGTGGCGGCCCCGCCCCCCAGCCGCGGCCCCGCCCCCGCCCGCCTTCTCGGCGCGCAATTGGTGCCGAGGGCTGTCGGTCTCGACGCTCTGGGGAGGGGGCGCCTCCGGGCTGCAGTAGCTCTGCAGAGGACTTGACGGCTAGCGACTGTGGCTGCGTGTGCGGGGACCCTCGAGCGCCCACCACGACCTCAGCAGCAGAGTCGATCCGAGACCCCGGCACCCTTGGTAAGTGCAGGAGAGTGAGGAGGAGGAGGTCGCGGGTAAAGGAGGGTCCCCAGCTAGTGTCAGATCCGCTGCCCGTTCCGGTGGCAGAGTGGGCGGGAGGCGCCGCTGGACCCCGGGTGTCCGCCCACTCCTGAGATGGCCTGGTGGGTGATACGGGGATGATCATTGCTGCGCAGGGATCTCCAGCTAGCGCGACCCTCGAGAGCCGTATCCACCTTCCCACCCCCTTCTGCCTATGTCCTAGCAGCAAGGGTGGGTTGTGATATTTTTTTGTTCGTTTTTTTTTTTTTTCTTTTTCTGTTCCCTTTTGGAGCGGGGAATATGATCTTGGTTTCCCTGCAGTCATAATTTTACATGTAGCTGGAAGCTAGGTTATCTGTTCCACGCCCCCGGCACTTTCCTTTTTGGTGCTTTCTCCTGCGCTCTAGCCCCTGCCATAAGGCGCTGGAAGCAGGATGCGAGACTCCCTCCCTGAGGAAGCTTTGCCGCCACGGTTGGGCGGGAGAGGTTCGCTCTCCTGCGACCGGGCCGCTCTCACCTCGGCTTGTCCGCTCCGGGCGGTGTGTTCTGTGACCTGCGAATCTCTAGGATCTGACCACAGGGGCTTTCATCCTGCGGTGATTAAACTACCCTGGCAGTCTTGCGTTCTGCAAAGTTTTACTGTCTACAGACCGCTTTTTCTCTATTTCAGTTTTTGTTGGGGTATTTATTTCTCCGTTGTAATGTATTTTAGGTGATCTTCTCAAGCAGGTGTCTTTAAGCAAGATTTTTAAAAAATGCATTACTAAATATGGTCCAATTTCTGTATTTCTATTATACATGCCCAATGGTTAATAAAAGCACATAAGCACGGAAACTCACAAGAAGTGAGAAGATGCAAAAAACAATAACCATATGGAATCTAATGTTGGGGAAGATGGAACTGGGCTGGGGAGAGGAATCTGAGGTGTTCCTAGTTCAGTTGTGTCCTTGGACTGGAATGACATTGTCTTTCTGTGAGAAGGATGGCAGAGGCGACACCCCCTGGATGGGAATATGGACCAGGGTCATAAATTGATTCTCAAGCTTGCAATTGCTTCTGTGATTCATAGAATGAAAAATCACCCAGGTAAACCTTTGAAAGGGACAGATTTACATAAAGAATCCCTTTACTTATTTAGGAGATGCATTAGCTGAAATGTATAAGGTTTGTGTTCCACGAGCTCCTTGTGTCCAGGTCCACTGTCTTACTTTTTTGTGAATTACTTTGAAAAGACAGCTTTATATTTATATGTAACTAATCTCTCTAGTATCTGAATTGTCAATTTATATGTGGCTTTCAAATAATTTCAAAAAAATATGTCAAGAATTTCAAAAGCTCTGGGGTCAGAGTGATAATACAACAGTAAGGAATTTGCCTTGCATATGGCCAACCCATGGTTCGATCCCAGTATCTCATATGGTCCCCCAAGCACCACCAGGGGTAATTTCTGAATGCAGAGCCTAGAGTAAACCCCTGAGCATCACTGAGTGTGGCCTCCAAACAAACAAACAAAAATTTAAATTTGATTTTTAAATCTCCAGAGAGACAGTACAATGGGTAAGGCACTTGTCTTCCACACTTTCAACCAGGTTCCATCCCAGGCACCACATGTGGTCTCCTGAGCCCTGCCAGGAGTGACCTCTGGGCCAGGCATAACCCCTAGGTACCTCTCCACCCTAAAAAGAACTTAGTTTAGTTGTGGTTCAATTTTAAATTGTGGCTCAATTTTTAAGTTGATGAGCTACATTATAATTAAATATCATTAAAGATTTTATACATATGTGTGTGTGCGTGTGTGTGTGTATATGTGGTTTGGTTTGGGGGCTGTACCTGATCATGCTCAGGGGATACTCATGGCTCACTACTCAAGGGTTGTTCCTGATGGTGCTCAGGGGATAATGCAGCACTAGGGACTGAAAGTGGGCTTCCACATACAATGCCTGCACTTCAGCCCACTGGCCTATCTCTCTGGCACCCACTAATTTTGCATATCACCAAACAATTCATTTTTTTTTTGATGAAAATCTTGAAACCTAATTTCAGAGCATAAACTTCTGGGACAGCATTCTTTAGTTGACCCCGATCTATTTCCAGCTAGTTGCCAAACTGTCCTGGCTTGAGTTTCTTCATCTGCAGGTGGTGATACTGCCACCTACTTACTTTGCAATGTTATGGGAAGCACTAAAAATGTATGTGAAAGTGACAAGCATTTCCCAAGAGCTCAATACGTATTGGCTCTCAGCGCTACCTCTGATCACGTGTTCATCTTATGGGGGAAAAGTTTGGACATCGGCTTCTTAAAAAAATGTTAAAAGAGTACATTTAAGAGCAGAGAATGATGATAATGTTAAATTTTCCAAGATTGTAGGAAAATTAGCACCTCCTTGATAGAACATTCATTTAAAAAAAAGAAACCTATCGAATCTAACTTTGACCTTAGCAGGAGGCTTACTGCAGACCGGCTGCCCTCTCAAACTCAGTTTCACTGCCTGGGTTTGAGTGATCTCAAATAATAAAATCCTTTGCAGCTACTGGATTCCTTATCTTCTGTAATAAAAATTATACCAGCTTATCACCCATGCCCTCCGGTGTTTGTTTGCTAACTGCAATTCAGAGGTCATAAATAAATCATAAAAACAGCACATTTAAAAGAATTGATAAAATACTGTCTGACTGCAGGTAACCCAAAGTGGAGCTGTAACAAAAAGAACAGAGTCAAACAGATTCACTCTGGTTTTTTGTTTTAAATAAGGCAAATGTAAATTCCATTTCCTAAAGAATTCTGTGTATGGATGTGATGCTGGCTTCCAGCACCTGCTGAGAGTTGCAGGAACACAGAGTCACACCTCTTCAAAGGTCTGTGCCCTCCGCATCCAAGGAGCTGTTCTTCACAATCCAACCCCCAAACAGCCCATCGTCCTGTTTCTCCTACTACCACCCTGATTTCCTCAGATACTTGTCAGAATGAAAGGGTTTATGTTTGATGGCTTTGTATTCCACACAAGTAAAATTATATGGTGTGTGTGTGTGTGTGTGTGTGTGTGTGTGTGTGTGTGTGTGTGATTTGTCTGTAGTTGGGCCACTCTGGTGGTGATTAGGAGCCACTGCTGGCTCAGTATGTATATGTTGGGGGAGTCTACTCCTGATAGTGCTCAGGGGACCATGTGGTGCTGGGAACTGAACACAGGTCTCCTGCATGCAAAACAGGTGCTCCTGCACATTGAGCTCACTCTCTGGCACATGTTTCTCTATTTTTCTTCTTATTTCACTTAGTCTAATCCTCTTGTGATACAGCCTTATTGCCACAAATGGCAAGATTTTTATCTCTGTGTGGTGCCAAGGAGCAAATCCACGACTTCACACATGTAAAACATATGCTCTACCATTAAACCATATCACAGGCTAAGATTTTATCTTCTTTTAGGGGGTGTTGGTTTTGGGGACATATGCAGTTGTGCTCAGGGTGTCTCTTGTCAGTGCTCAGGGCCCATGTGGTGCCTGGGATCAAAACTGAGGCTCCCACGTGCAAAGTCTGCACTCCAGCTTGCTAAGCCATCTCCCCAGCTCCTGATTTCGTCTTGAAAAAAAAAAAGAAAGATGAATATAAACCCTAATTTTTATTCTCCAGGCACTTCAATAATTACCATGGGAAATATGCCTGGTAAAATTGGACACATTCAACTGAATGGTGTGTGGATAATGGTGGCTAATGGTGATATAAAACGCCACTCTCTTCTCTCTTTACCAGGTGGATCTTTAAATAGAACAAATATTTATCATCCAACAAAGGGCTTTCACAAAGAAACTGACAGAAATTACAGTAAACAAATTAGTCATTTGTATATTGGAGAAACCACCTGAGACAACACTTCAGAGCAAGATCAAAGGAGTGGATACATCCGGAGGAAATTTTACCTTGTAAATTTTTGCCTACATGTTCTTCATAAGAGAGAATTCTGAGAGAATTTTTCTAGAGAATGAAAGAATGTAAAGTGAAAATGGAAAGCATAGTGTCTGAAATTCAAGTGGAAAGCAAGGATGAGAAGAAAGCCACAGAAGTTAGTCCTCAGGAAGAGAGGCAGGAGGAAAAGGCCTCGAAGCTTTGCTTCAAGAGAAGAAAGAAAGCAGCCAAAGCAACGAAGCTTAAAGCCAGCCCTGAGTCTGCTGGTATGGTGAGGAAGCATCCCCCTAAAACAGGAGCTTCTGACCAGTCACGGCCCACTGGGGGGGCCTGGGCCTCAATCAAACGCCTGGTGACACGCAGGAAAAGGTCCAGTTCTTCAAAGCAGAAGTCCTTAGAGGTTAAAGAGCCGGAAATCAATGCTGAGGATGCCAACCTACGGAAGAAAAAGGCAAAATCCAGACTCCGGCTTCCCTGCGTAAGATTCTCAAAGCGAGGGAAAAGAAGTGAACATTCCAAAATTATAGAAGACTCAGACTGCAGCATCAAAGTCCAGGGAGAAGCTGAAAGTTTGAGCATAAAAACTCCAACCGAGTCAGAAGAGATCAAGCCAGCGATCAAGCCAGTTCCACAGGTAAAGAAAGACATCTCACAGAAAGAGGACAAAGAGGGCTGGGAACCCGGTGTGAGCAACAACCTGACTTCTGCAGAGAAAGTGATTTCTGTAGAACTAGGATCAGACACAGGCCAAACTGCTATTCAGACGGGAGCTGTCGTCCTTGAAACAGCTGAAGAAAAACAAACTGTTCCACCCCAGCCTGAGAGTCCACTTGAAACTTCAGAAAGAAAACTGCCACCTGCTGTTCCTGATGTTCCCCCGCCCATGGTTCCTGATGCTCCCCCTTCTGTGGTTCCTGATGTTCCTCCCTCCGTGGTTCCTGATGCTCCCCCCTCTGTGGTTCCTGATGTTCCTCCCTCCATGGTTCCTAGTGCTCCTCCTTCTGTGGTTCCTGATGTTCCCCCCTCCGTGGTTTCTGATGTTCCCGCCTCCGTGGTTCCTGATGTTCCTGCCTCCGTGGTTCGTGATGTTCCCCCCTCCGTGGTTCGTGATGTTCCCCCATCCGTGATTCATGATGTTCCCCCCTCCGTGGTTTCTGAAGTTCCCGCCTCCGTGGTTCCTGATGTTCCCCTCTCCGTGGTTCATGATGTTCCCCCCTCCGTGGTTCCTGATGTTCCCCCCTCCGTGGTTCCTGGTGTTCCCCCGTCCGTGGTTCCTGATGTTCCTCCCTCCGTGGTTCCTGATGTTCCCCCCTCCGTGGTTCCTGATGTTCCCCCCTCCGTGGTTCCTGGTGTTCCCCCGTCCGTGGTTCCTGATGTTCCTCCCTCCGTGGTTCCTGATGTTCCCCCCTCCGTGATTCCTGATGTTCCTCCCTCCGTGGTTCCTGATGTTCCTCCCTCCGTGGTTCCTGATGTTCCCCCCTCTGTGGTTCCTGATGTTCCCCCCTCTGTGGTTCCTGATGTTCCTCCCTCTATGGTATCTAGTGTTCCTCCCTCCGTGGTTCCTGATGTTCCCCCCTCCGTGGTTCCTGATGTTCCCCCCTCCGTGGTTCCTGATGTTCCCCCCTCTGTGGTTTCTAGTGTTCCCCCCTCCATGGTTTCTGATGTTCCCCCCTCCGTGGTTTCTGATGCTACCCCCTCCGTGGTTTCTAGTGTTCCCCCCTCCATGGTTTCTGATGTTCCCCCCTCCGTGGTTTCTGATGTTCCCCCCTCCGTGGTTTCTGATGTTCCCCCCTCCGTGGTTCCTGATGCTACCCCCTCCGTGGTTCCTGATGTTCCCCCCTCCGTGGTTCCTGATGTTCCCCCCTCTGTGGTTCCATCTGATGTTCCTCCCTCATTGGAGATCCAAGATCAGCAAATTTTAGAGGAAGCCAGAAGCAGTAGTCCAGAAAGTGAACCAAACTGGGAAGACCAGGAAAGTACAGACAATGTAGCTAAAGAGAGTCAGCCAGAAGTTTCTGAATTGAGTCAGGAATCAGATTTTAAAGAGAACGAGCTTGATGTAGAGAAAACCAAACCAGACGAAAGCAGAAGAATGGAGCCAATTGCCATTATTATTACAGACACTGAAATCAGTGAATTTGATGTTAAGAAATCTAAAAATGTCCCTAAGCAATTCTTAATTTCAACAGAAAATGAGCAAGTCGGAGTTTTTGCTAATGATAGTGGTTTAGAGGGTCGAACTTCAGAACAGTATGAAACACTTTTAATAGAAACAGCTTCTTCGCTTGTGAAGAATGCCATCCAGTTGTCTATAGAACAGCTGGTCAATGAAATGGTTTCTGATGATAATAAAATGAACAATATTCTGCAGTGACTTCATTTCCAAAATCACAGAAAAAAACTTAATGATGTATTATTTTACTTGTGGCATTTCTTATTCTGTAACAAATGAGAGATTTATTATTGGTGGAATTTATTCTAGTCCAGAGTGCAAAAGAATTCATCAAGTTAATAAACCCCTCCCTACAACTGAAATGTAGTCACTTCTGGATTGAAGGAAGTCTGTATAGACGGCAATCCAAACAACATACAGGTAGCTGCCAAAATAGTGTATACAGATTGGTATGCTTGGGAGAAAGAAGATGTATTTACTGAGCACCTTGAGTAAGTTCTAAGTTCTTTAATATTTTCTGAAGTTACAAAGCCTGATTTCCTTTAGATGGTTTAGTCCTGTGTAAAGGTTAACTTTGTGTTCAGTTTCTAAAAGCTTATTTTTTTTACAGTGAAACTTTAAGCTGGTAAATAAGGTGAACTATTTTTGTGGACATGTGATTTATGATTTATATTTCTAGGCATTACCTCAAAAGTATTGCACTTCCCCCATTTCAGCAGTGTGCAGAAAATGATCTGAATTACACAGGAGTGGCTTTTGAGACTTGCTCAGGTCCCTTACAAGTTATTCACAAATTCCTTTAAACTGGCAGATAATTTACCAAGTGCAAAGGTGTGGAGACAGAGAGTACATGTCTACATCTTTCCTTGCTATGAGCAGACCTATATAAACCTGTTTCTGTCTGTTGAAAAGCTTAAAGCAAAAACCTAACAGGGACAACAAAAAACAAGAGTAGAATATAATTTTTCATTAAAAAGAAGTCAAAGTGCCCAATTACAAATGATCACAGATAACACAGTATTCATTCTGCAGGATCCCTTCTCAAAGGATTATATTCATCAGCCTTTCTTCAAAGAGGAAGAGTGAATTCAAAACCAAATTAGCAGTAAAAGTCTTAGGGATTTAGGATTTAGTAAAATGTGGTTCCTGACCAAGAATGAGCCATGAACCTGACTGGATAGAAAGTGGAACTTTCTAAAGCAAATTATATCTTAAATGTCAGTGGTCTTTTTTTTGTGATGTGTTGAAAGATACCAGTTAAAACAATTTGCATGGATATTGAAAATTAACTTCCTCATAACTGTCTTCAGTTCTGCTTGCCCCTTACCAAAAGATGAACAATATAAGATTGTTTGAATTTTTATTCAGTTATTTAAATCTATCTCATTAATTACCACCATATTTTTTTAAAAGCAGCTGTCAATTTTTCCTTGTGTGAAATGCCATAGTACAATAGATTTCCCTACCTCCTAGGTTGGGGCTTATATCCTAGATTCCTTTCTTGTCCACTGAATGTTACTCTGAAGGTAGATCAAAAATTGAAGAAGTTTACTCAAATAGTTAATTGTTTGTTAAAAAGTAATTGTACACCATTAGAGAAAAGAATGTATTGTCAGGGTCAGAAAAACACTGTAACAAGTAAGGCACTTGCCTTGTACACAGCTGACCAGGTTCAATCCCTGGACCCACATGTGGTCTAAGCCCAGCCAGGAAGGACCCCTTAGTGCAGAGCCAAAAATAAGCCCTGAGCACTATCCGGTGTGACCCCAACTCCGATCCCTCAAGTATATATTAAATTACTTAAGGAGGTTATGAGTTCTTGCATTATTTATGAATTGCATATATAAAGTATGTGTTCATTTTGTCCTACTGAATCTTATTTCTTTCTGTACATTTTGACACCTCTGGCAAAAAAACACCTGAATTTTGAACCAATTAATGAATTAATTGAACTAATGGGTTAATTAAATAATGGATTTCCTTACCAAGATTCTTTCTGAAGTGCAAAAGTATTTCCCCAGATCTTCCTACTTTCTTATTATTTATTTATTTGTTTTTTTGATCAAACCTAGCGATGCACAGGGTTTCTCCTGGCTCAGGCCCCAGGAATTAGTCCTGGTGGTGCTCAGGGGACCATATGGGATGCTGGGAATTGAACCCAGTTTGGCCGCATGCAAGGCAAATGCCCTACCCGGTGTACTATCGCTCCGCCCCCCTACTTTCATGCTTTATATATACCCTTGTGTGTGGGAAGAGCTGCAGAGTCAAATTAATTTATCAAGATGAAAAGTAATTCTTTTAAAACACATGACCCAAGACATTAGTTTCCTCTAATTGTACAACCTGAAAACAAAATTTTAATGACTTAAGACATTCTTCCTCAAAAGCTCACTTTTAATCCACTGTATGTGGTGCTATAATTACTTGGACAGTACCAGCAAATATTTATCATATAAAAAAAACCTTAATAAGGTCGGTGCATTTTATAATATTTGCAGCAATTCTGTCTTATTTATTACAAGGATTTCTCAAGCTAATATACTTTCATTGTTAAGATTTTAATAATTGCTCATGACTGAACCAAAAGCATAGTATATGTTAACTGTTAAAATATTATGAAAGGTACAGGTATATATTTGAGGATTTTAAAAACAGATATAAGGTAAATATGTAACTACTTTTTTTTTATGAAAGTAACATTTAACTGGTCTAGGTTTCTATTTTTTGTCTTTCTTGCAGTTTGATACAACTTTTTAGTTAGAATGTATTCATAGTTCTGTAATCAGTGTGTCTTTGTTTGTTTTCATTAAGTGGTATTTCTTCAATTTTTGTGAAATTTAATAATTAAGTTTGAAAAAAGAATCCAGGACTAATTGATATCAATCTAATTATACCTGCTACATGACAAAAATCTCATTACCATGATTTCTGAGGTAACCCAAATTAGTTTTTTTCTAGGAATAAGAAATCAGATATGTAAGTCTCTCCTAAAAGATTTTTTTACTGTATTTATATTAAGGAATTATAAGTGATGTTCAACAAATATAGATCGATTTAATTTATATCCATGTGATATTAAAATGACCAATTAGAATCATTTTAGTAACACCGCATTAATTTTATTTAAATTTGTCATGCTTTTAATGAACATTTATATTGATTAGCTGGGATTAGTTTCTCCTTAAACTCAGAATTGTGCATATCTGCTGATTGTTTTACTGGAGAGTTGATTTTTCTCCCCCCAGCATATTATCTTCTTTCAGAGTTCAGTATTATTCACTCTGCTTTACAATCCACTGAATATGAAAATCCTCCTGTTTTATATGTAGCAATATTCACTTAATTTTTTCAAAGTACTTTGTAGAGTATAAAAATAGTCCCTGGTAACATTTAAGTAATGGTAGCAGAAAACAAAGGAACTTTCAAGCAGAAATGTTCTGTGCCACCTCCTCCACCTCAAAGAATAATAAGCATGTGGCACAAATGGAGTTCAGAAAAGTTGTCTGCATAATTTCCTTTCAAGTTAATCTACCTGACAGTACAAAATTTGTGATATTAATTGGCCTACTATTTAGTGGAATCTTAGGAATGCTCTGATTTAATTCTGAGTGATGTTACTTTATCAGTTTACATGAACAGCCTTCAGGCTTCAAGGTTTTCAGGAATTGGATCAGACAGTGACACCAGTAAATGTGGTTTCTATATGCAATCCAGAGTTAATTCATCCATAAGTTTTTTACTGCAAGTTGCCTTACTTTTTATAATTATGTTTTTAGAGATTTATAGCAGGATTTTAAAAATAATTGTTAGTCACATTTGCTTGAAAAGATCCTTTTATTCTAAACTCTATTCAAATATGTAACATCTCCTTTCTAATTTAATCTAACAGTAAATACAACAGTGGTTGACTTTACTGCCTACCATTTCTATATTAAAAAAAAAAACATCCTAGGCTGGATAAATAGGACAGGGATTTAGGTGCTTCCTTGTATGGGCTGGCCCTGGTTAAATCGCCAGCATTGCACATGATCCCCCAGAAATGCTGGGGAACCCCCCCAAAAAAACTCCTTTAACATTTAGACTTCTTTAAAGCTGAAATTCCTGACCCTTCTTGTCTTACGTTAAGTTTCTTTATATAGAATTCCAAATTTCAATCAACAGTACATTTATAGTAGTTTTGAAAAGGCTTTTTTTAAAAAAAATTTTTTTGTTTATAAAATATAACAGGGGGAAACTACAAACAACTTACATGTTCTGACTAAATTCAAGTTGATTCAACATTCACTGCCTATAACAGGGTATAAGTGCTGCTGGACAAATAGGTCTTGGCTAAGAAATAAATAAATAAAATAAAATTTTAAAAAATAGGCCTTGGCCTTCAGCGGATCAACCTTGATGACAGCAGCAAGAGACTGGGACGGGGGTTAAGGCAAAGACCCACAGGTAATGTGACATCATGAGTGCCAGATTGGGAAGGTGAGACAGAGTGATTCTGTCTGATGAAGAGATGTGACCATCTAAATACAGGGGCCCTTGAAAGTGTTCAGTTTCTAAAGAGTTAAGATAGTATCTTCAATCTGATTTGTGAACAGGTGCAGAAAAGAAAAAAGCCTGCATAATGTTGCATATTTATAGCAGTTCTTTGTCTGTAAAAATGCTAAGTGGATGAGTTATTATGAAAGTAAAGTTTCATTTGATATTTCTCACTAAAGTAATACTATCTTACTGTGTCTCAGATGCTATTAAATAATACTCTGTAAAAAAAAAAAGTTTCAACCAGAGTTAATATATGTATTGACTACTGATAGAAAATAAATGTTATATTGGCTCAAGTTTTTTTACCCAGATCTTTTCGGAGAATCCTGTAATATTATGTTCATGTTCCATAACTCTAAAGATCACATGGATGAAGCTACTGGGTTAGCACCTCCCAAAGTCCTCCTCCGATGATGGGCTGTCAGATGTCACACTCTGAGCTGGAAGAGCCCATTTCGGCTGAGAGCAGACACCTAGAGCTGAATTCAGTTTCATCTAACTCATTACAGCCAAAGGACTATACTAACTTGGGACCCATCAAAAGTGCAGTTGCCCTCATAGCAGCCTCTGCATTGTTCATATATTTTATCATCCTCTGCATTGTTCATACTCTTCATGGTTTCCCAGTAAGCAATTCTAATACAAAAATTCTTGAATTCTTTAGAGGGTGCCTGCTGAAACTGGGTGCTCCTAAAGTTCTGTGATGACCAAAACACTGATTTTCATCTCTATGTTTTAAAACTATTCAACAAATACACTTATTTTCATTCCCTCCTTCTTTCCCTCATCTCCTTGTTGTTGCTGTCATGGTTGTGATGGACAGTACATGTGCTTTGCTGTGGTCCTTGCTGGGGTTTGGCCTCCGATAGTTGTGGGGCTGGTACACATGCTCTCTGGAGCAAGTGCTTAATTTCTCATGGTAATGTTGGTGCTTGCTAGGGGCACATTTCCTGGCAGTGGTGCTTACACATCCTTAAAGGTAAAGGTAAAGACCCTCCCGTTGATCGTCGATTTGCTCGAGCGGGCCCAGTAACGTCTCCATTGGAGACTTTGTTGTTACTGTGTCTGGCATATCGAATACTCTCGGTAGCTTGCCGGGCTCTCTGAGAGGGGTGGAGGAATCGAACTCGGGTCGGCCATGTTGGCCGCGTGTAAGGCGAACGCCCTACC